TGCTTACCGTCACCATTTCTCCAGGTTATAAAAATAAAAGCCATCCCCAATAAGCGTTATACGAACTCCCGCATGGAATAACGGTTTTGCACAACACTGTCATATCAACATTTTTTTATCTTTCCCACTATTTTTTGTTGCTTTTTTCTCACAATCTGAAGTATCATTCTTATCCTCTGGGTTTATTATCCAGTGAAATATTTCTCTCGCGTTTTTCTCTTTAATGTTTATTTTATCATTGTTTTGAAATTTTTCGCTCCGCACTGAAAGTGACACATACTCTCACCAGAATTTTCCGGTGCATTTCTTGAATAATTCTTTCTGGTCGACGATGAAAAAAAAAATGGGTAGGAATCGGTTATTGCAGGATACACAAGAATTTTTATGTCATCGTCAAAATTCAACGTCAAATACAATTGAATTTTTTATTGATTTAAACTTCAGGATAATTGTTGTTCGAATTTTCTCTTATATTGTCGCCGTTTTTATTACCATATTACCAATTACCAGAACATTGAAAAAAATAAATGATTCGTTGATAAAAAATTATATAGAAATTTCATTAGTAAACTTTCAACAGAATGTTTGTCTAAGAATTCCATGAAACATATGATATTAATTCTCATTTAAGTGATGATCAATCGGATTTAGCGGAGAAGTGTTTATGAAAATTTGAACACTAGGTCAAATTCCCGAAAATTTCGGAGTTCTCAGTGAATATTTGGGAATATCATGAAATTTTCATCGTTGTCACGAAAGAATTGGATCAAAAACCCAAATATTCGATTGATATTTAAATAATCTAAATAGAAAACCAATAGATCCTTTTAGAATCACCAGATTTTCTGACGTTTCAGTGTAAATTCACGCGAAAAATTTCTCGGATTCAGGGGAAAACTGAAAATTAAGAGGAAAGTTTTTATGACTGCTAGGTATAAACAGGAAATAGCTTGAGATGAATATAATTTCCTTGAAATGAAGCGAAAAGCAGAAGCCTACGGTCGTTTCGTGTTTTCAAACAGCTAAGATCACTATGATAGAAATTTAGAGCACTCGGGGGGATATTCTGTATGGAAATTGTCTGAAGTTTCAAAGAGTTGGGGTATGTACATCTCTCGAATGCATTCTTGCCACATATACAAGTCGCCATTGGTATGCAGAGAGCTAGTGGAGACGCAATTATTGTAAGTTACCCAGTCTTCGCTCAGTCAAGAATACCATTGCAATGTTGACCTTTTCCTTACCTTTACCTATTGTCAAGAGGATCGTTCGAGTGGAGCCACTACTGATCTCCGAATCTTCCAACGGCCAGCTCAGAATATTTTTGCTATTGTGTACAGGTATGAGACTGGTGAAACATTTTCAAGCTTGTGGATAAAACTTTTTCAACCGTCGTATTTTCTCTTGCTCCATATACACTGATCAAAAAAATATGTATCAACCGACCATTGACATTCGTGATGACAAACATTTTTTTTTTCTATTCTATATTAATTCAATTGGAATCATATATATTTTTTTTAGTGTCCACTGATCAATTTAAGAAAGAGTAAATTAAACGAGACAAATTGATAAATCAATCACTCACAGATAAGAGTCATAATTTTAAGAAATATATTTCCAATTTCTCGAAATCCATTGCTCTCAATTCGAAAATTGACTAAGTTCAGAATTTAGATAACTACAAGTTTTTGGATTACAAAATTATGGACTTTCATTATTAATTGTGTAAAGAGCAGATATTGGGAACCGATCAGCCGATCACCGATCACATAATATTTCATGACAATAATGGAGGTGCACATTCTTTATTTCATTTCATCAAAGACGTTTCAAATATTAGAGGTTATTGAACTTGAAGATTAAGGGAACTCGTTGAAAGAAAGCTCGTTGAGTCATGAAAAAGGGAGAACAACTGGCGAAAGAAATGATGCCTCACAAAGTAATGCCAACGTGACACTCGTTCGGTGCCGTTATTACCTTTTCAACAGAATGGGGAATGAAAATTTAATACGAATACTAGCTCTCAACGCTGGGAACAATGACAATCCTAAGAGAATAGTAATGCAATTTGGAATTGATGGATTTCTAGTAAAATGTCGTACGGCCTCATGGATAAAATGGATAAAATGAATTCCATTGGCCCCAACAGATTAAATCCACGGATTTATTCAATGTTCCAAATGTCACACTCAACTTGCATCACCAATCGCAAGACCAAATTGGAATCACCTGGAATACTATCCGGCACGTCCACGAGAAGAAGGAATACTCCCCGAGAACATCATATCTAGTGATAGTAAAATGGAACAAAAAATGAAGGAATCATAAAAGTAATGCCGCAGAAGGAAAGATCTTAAAACAGAAAAATAAAAGAGAGAGAGAAAAGCGGGAGCCACCGGAGGACTCTGGAGGAGAAACTTTGTGAAACGTGTCCACGTTTCATAAAAGGATCCCCAAGTCGTGAGCCACTCATAAGGTGTTTTTTCTTCGTTTAGAAGTTTTATTGAGTTTAAGAATCTTGAAAGAGAAACTTTACAGGTCCCTAATTGAAATGACTTCTAATGATGCATCTATTGTGGTTGAGAGTGTCCATGTTGAGGGTTCGGTTGTAGGCCCTCATATTTCGACTGGGCCTTCTTCTCAGGATTTTTCTATTTTGTCCTGGATTTTTCTCACAATAATAGATCGCCTGGTAATAATATATTTCCTAGAATGAATGAAATGGCTAAAATTCTATTTAGAAAAATAATCCACGAGACTTGAACAATTTTGAAGGAAGGCAATCAATTGATCAATTAATACAACTTATCATGTATCCATCGATGGGAGGGAATGGTCGAGCCCTCGCAATGGTGATATGCGTGTTGCAGAATTTAGTTAATTCCCTAGTTAACTCCATATATTGGGAGGGTGTTTTGATGTACTTCAGTCTGAACTTTGATCTAATAACCATTCGCACGCGATGGCGATTATATCTTCATCGTAAACTGATGCCGCGCGTGGCTAAGTTGAAAGAGCGTTGAGACAGCCAGCGGATTGGATATGAGGAAGATGGAGAACTAAGACTCACGTTTTCCACCCTCTTCACCCCAATGCTTCACTCGATTGAACCGCCCCCGCTCTTTTCTTCAGAAAATACCTCTATTCCATTGCCGGGGGGATGGGTTTAAGTTGGAGCAACAATTCCACCGAAATAACATTCTCAAATTAAGAATATTTGAGGAAGAGCCCAGGGCGCCACAATGTTATGGCATTTCACTCGGACTGACAGAAAAACCTTCTAATTCTCAGGAACTTGATAAGAATATACGGAAAAAATTGAAGTTTTGATAACTATAACTGATAAAAATATATACTAGGATTGAGTATAGTTTACTATTCGAGTTTTTCAATTTAATATTACTAATACAATTGAGTTGATATAATCAATAAATTAATAATTCATTAAATGCTATTTCCATAATAATCGATAAATTACCATTGGATTTTCTATGCGTTTCTCTCACGGAGAAACTTAATTAGCAGCAACTAAGTGACTCAATTATGGACCCCAATTGGTTTTGCCTTAAAAATATAATAATCCCTGTAACTAATGGAAAACGTGCGAGAGAAATCGCGCGCGTCAACTCCTAAAATTCGGGAGAGACTAAATGTCACGAATTTCACGCCAAAAAAATTGGACACAAAATTTCCAGAGTTGCGGTTCTGTAAGATTAAGAAATAAATCCTTAATTTCGGAAATATAGAAATCCTCTCAGCGGAGTATAATAGTTGTGAAATGATAATCGGGAGATTAAATTTACACTTGAAAGACGGGAGAAATGCCTGGGTACATTGAGCCCATCGAATTTCATGATGTATCTCTGTGTGCATGTATATGTCTATATAACTTAAAGTTTATCCAGCGGAATGGATCCACGCTTTATTTGCTACCTCCTTGAAGAACCGATGGGTTCCCCCCACCGTATCCCAACGAAAAACGCAATGCACCTGAGGTTTTCTTTCAACTTATATCTCTTCTTATCGTCTCATCTAACAGCGTAAAAAATGTCAATATTTTCCATCCATTCTTCTGATAGATATATGATCATATATTGGAACTGTGTGAGCATCGCTCAGTCTTTCCGGAGATAAAGAATATATATGCAATTGGAGGATTGAAAAGAATCCAACAAAATGAAAGTTCGCAATACCATTCGTCTAAAAATCTTAATAAATATTCCTACAATTGCACAGAGTTCTGCACTGTCAGAGAAAAATTGATATTTTGTGGAGAGTTCAGCCGCCATTTTTACGGGAGTGGCGTTGAATTAAATTCTGCGTGAGAGCTTCGTGAAATTTTGAATTTCTTTTTTTCTATTGATTATCTATTTTATTTCCGAATACTTGAAGAGGAAAACCATGCAGTATTTAAATTTCCAATAAAATCGTGATTTGTTGAAATTTCTGCAAAAATTCAGCGCCATAAAAATTACCGCCATTCAGTCGGCAAAATTGAGAGACAAATTTGTGATATAATGTTGCAGCATTTTGCCCATTGTGATGATTGCTATATAAATAATAATTACTATTATGACAATCATTATTATTAAATTTTTCAACATTACTATAATAATGATAAATTATGAATTATTACAGTAATATTAATACCAATAATAACTATGCCCCGTTGTGATTAAAATGCTCATATTATGGTAGATAGTAATGATTGTGTTTGCAGGACATTGATAATTCTTAATTTAGATGATTAATTCGTCGCCAATTCACGGACATACCAAAGTAAACATAATATAGTCATAAGCTATTCGAATGGGGGGTTTATAGGGGGGTTGATATACATAGGGGGTGTTCGCGCGGGCTCGTGTCGACTCGGTCACAGTCGAGTCACACCGGCGCTCGGTATATATGTTGCAATGCGCGGGCTGAGCTGGTGGGGAAAGCCAATGAACAGAGAGAGAGATAGTACCGTGTGCGGTTTTCTCTGAGTGTGTACCAGACGTTCAAGTCAGTGCTCCGATGGACGTGGAATCAACCTCATCCAATCCACCTCATTTCCAACAATTTCCATCAATTCTCCATGTAAATATCTAATGAATCAACTATTAATGACAACTATTTTCACGCGGAGTGACTGAATAATTTTAAAAACCATTAAATTATCACGTCTCATTTTCTCGATTAGTTAAAAAAATCACAGACTATCGATACGCAATCAATTCGATGAGCAATTGAACGATCGAATTTAACAGCTCTAATAGCCAACGTATCGAGCAATAAGTGTCCGTTTTGACTTGATAATGCCAATCGTTTTTCCCTGACATATAATCCTTTTATCCGGAATTGAGTGGAGAACTGATATCACGAGCACGATTGTCAACGGAGTGGAGTGAATGAAAAATACATCTGTTGAAAAAATCATACTTATCGGACTGTTTTATTATCGTCGATGCCGGTGGGTGAGATATTTAAAAAAATAAATAAATAACCGGTTGGGAGGAATAAAAAAAAGTTTGGATCACTGGAGTTATATATACCTTGTACAACACGCCGGATGCCCGTAAATTGTTGCGGCGTATAATTAAAGTCGTCTTGAGACGAGTGAGTTGGATGAGAACGGCCGGGACGACCTGCAACGATTGCCGTCTGGTTGAAAAGAATAAAAGTTGGTGAAAAACGAAGATAGTTGGAAAAGGGAGAGGAAAATATCCGGATAACTAGGGGAGCAGTACGAAAAGATAGCGACGGTTCACACGGGCTATTATTTTTTTTTTCCTCAAGATGCTTTCCATGAATGTCATTATCACAAAATTATTTTTCAGTGTCCAGTGATCATTCGTGCACATTATCCAGGTGATAATTATTACATACGAGTGTTCTCTTGTGATATCACGTGTAGTCAATTTTACGTGCTGTGATAAAGCTTGTGATATTTTCGTCAGCCATATAGAGAGAAAAAAAAATACTGCATAATATTGGAATCGCCGGTTGAGTTTATCGCGGTTCATACTTTTGCGTAACAGGTATGTCGTGTATGAAATATTATGCGAGATTGTTTACAACGATAGGAGCTGTCAATTTGTAGGAAATTGTTTGGTCTGACTGATAGGGACACGTCAAATATTCTGATTGAATGACAGAACACTCGAGTCCACACTCGGTAACGGAACAACTTCTGGTAAAGATTCACTGGATACAGGAAAATATGCTCTTGTCAAAAATCGTGTCACGATCACCGTAAAATGGTGAACTCTCCATATAAATCATTTCGCTTTTACACTCGAGAAAAGTTTTTTCGATAGCAAGGGATTCTCTTGTTCTAGGAGAATTCCTTAATGTTAACACACGTCTTATAAATTCATAATTTTTTTCTTCCCATCACTTCTAAAAGGTCTTATAACAATGATATCAAATAATATCTGATAGCTACACGAGTTCGAACTAACGAACCGTAAAATCGGAAACATTAATTTTCGTAATCAATTTATTCGAACTCTTACGCAAGCAGTTGAAGATTAGCGATCGGTGGGGAACAAAATCGTTTATTAGAAGTCATTTCAAATAGATCTTCTTGAAAAGTATTTATCGACACGATGCGATTATTAACCGACTCGTCATGATTGAGGACTCGTTCATCCATAATCGTACTGCCGACGCCGATTGAAGTTTTTAAATAGATATGATCAGCGCAATGATTATGCAATCGATCATGTCGTAATCATATTGTAATGAAATCCTTGTCATGTCATTTTCCTCATTGCCTGGTCACATTGGCGGATTGTCAGTGTCAAATCCCATCGGATCACGTTAATTATCCCATTTTTCGACTGATTCATCACTCGGTTCTTATTTTTTCCTGTCCATTTTGAAGTGGTACCTTGAATAATTTAGCTAGATGGATAAGAAAATTGTCAAGACTCCGACGTAAAATCCATAAATTTTTTTCATTCCTCCAGAGTATCCAGCCAAGTATACGGCATTTCTGAAGAATATAACGAAAGGGGGAAAAAATGAAAACGGTCCGCCTGTAAAGTAGCCCGGAACACGCTCCTCATATTTCCGTGGACGAGCAAATTCACCGTACAAGGATACCCTCGGCGTTGTATCCTCATTTCCCTTCCCTACCATCACTTCCGCTTCTTCTTATTTTTCACCATCTGGATATCCTCGACTACGTGTACATCGTACGAGTGGTGTGCATTATGCACGTCACCTCTCTGAAAGCGTACGTTTTTAAAAAGGTCAAATTAAAATCTTGGGACCGGGAATGATTCATCAAAGTGGATTATAAAAATTGATGGTGAACAACGAGTGGTAACTGAGACGTGAGAGAGGAAAAATTTCAATTGCTCTTTGCACAGCTACACTTAACACTGCACTTTTCGTGTGCCACCGTGGGTTTGCATACATGTCAACGTGATGCATTATGCAGGCAAGTCGGGGCTGCGATAATTCCCGTGCACACTGGGGTATGAAGGCGTCGGCGGAGGAATGGAGAAAAAAATTTATCGAGGATATGATCTGCCTGTGTCTTTTCGATATTGGTATCGGAAGAGAATATCTTTTTTTTCAATGTAATTTCAGATACGGTGGGGAATAGTCAATAAAGATGACGTAACGCCCATTGCCGGGTGACTAAAAAAAATTACGTGACGGTGTTGAAATTTTTCGAAGGAAGTTCACACAAGTATTATACAACCCACCGAAAAAAATCCGTAGTAGTTCCGTGGATTTTTTAACCAACAACCATAATCATCTGTTTTTTGAATTATTATATCAAATATATTATTATATTTGAATTTAATTCAATTTAAAAATTGTCACTAAATTTCCTGTTCATCTTGAAAATTGAAGTTTTCATGTTAATTGATGATTGATTTTTCAACGAAAGCTTGAATATCCAATAGATTAAAAATTCAGGGAATTTCTCGCTTGAATTCTCAACTTTTTCAGTTTTTCATTATCACACGAATGAAAAAATTCAGAATTACTGCAATATTTAAAAAAAACTGATACCTCAGACTTTTAAATTTTACAGTAATGACCCAACTCTCACTGCCCAAAATCTAATCAACTCCAAAAATCTTAAAAAAATTTCCACGAATTTCATTCTTCATACATTCAAACCTATAAATTGCCTACTTCGTACTCCCATTGAAATCTCCATCATTAAAACGTCCGTTAACGAACTTATTACGTAAATATAAAAGCATGACATGAAGAAAAAGATTAATTTAGCATCTAGATTTACGTTTAAATAGTAACAAAGCGCTGGGGGGTACTTTGTTAGGATTGGAAATAGCCGTTGCGGAATAGCTTGCGGGGGGTGGATGGGTGAATGGTGGATGGGCTGACGGGAGAGGATGGGGGAGGATAGGGCGAGGGATGAGGGGTTGAGGTTAAAATTGGTAATACAAAAAACCAGTGGTTTTTGCTGCACGTTTCATCCTTATTTGTAATGGCAAGCGACCGGCAGGTATAGAATGTAATGTGTACAGAAGCGTGGCACTCTAACGGCCACTTTGTCGATAGGGCGAACCACCAAGTTCCGTTGTGGAACGCGTTCACCATCCCGGGCCCTTCATCCATGCACCACGCGCCCTAACATAAACCTCTGTCGCTCGTAAATAAACCTCAGCTTGAATACCTTTCGCATATGCATAAAACATGTGTGGATAACCATATACAGATCGTGGAATTTTATAGCACTTCGGAGATCGTTTTGTTTCTCCGACGTTGATCACCCATTTTTATTTATCCCACCTTCACTTCATCAGGTAATTGCTAAATCAACCACTCGGATATATACCGATCCCCCCCCCACATGGAACATTACAAATGGAGGAAAAATAGTTTCACCGAGAATGTGAGGGTCTTCATATAAAATATTTCATTAACATATTTGATAGATGAATTTATTTTTTGCGCTGTTTTTAATGAGTCGTGTAAATTTTCTATCGAGGATGATACATAAAAATTACGTTGTCGACACTAAGATTTCGGGTAACTTCATGCGTCAGACTTTTCACGCGTAACCCTATTTCTCATTGGCCATTCTGAATAAAACTCTTTTCTCAACTGGCTATGTTATCATCAACACAACGGAGTCAAATAGCGCGCGCGGAACGTGCATTCGTTCTCGTAATTTTTTATGATGTCAGGCCGTAAATTTTTTACAATTCTTCGTTGATGAATCATTTAATTTCTTGAATATTCCGGTGATATGGCAGTGGTAATCATTAATAATGATGAAAATTCAGGCAATACTTTTCCAGAACTGTCGAACTATTGACAATTCATCGCATTATTGAAAATTTGGATGACATAACTCGTAGCAGTAGCAGTAGCAGAATATTTAACTAGAAATTTTTCTCGGGGTATATTTTTCTTTCTCTCGGGTTTTAAAACCAGAAAACCTTCGATTACATGAAAACAATACAAATGGCAAACTTCTTGATTCAACTGATCGGATTAAGCTCGAGCTCGGTGGAGTGCACTCACATCTGACGTTCACTTTTCCGTCGCTGTACTCGAAATACAGAACAAGTGGCGACAAAAATGGAGAGAAATGAGGTAGTTGAAATAAAGAAGAAACTGACAACCTCAAAAATGACTAAAACAATACCTCCGGCTTTTCCACACGATTTATCCAGTGAGAGGAAAATAATGTAATTAACAATTTCTTAGCTGCATCGCTGAAGTGCCGGAATTTTCTCGTGTTAGATCTGCACGGAAATGTCAGAAAATATTCTCTGTGAGAAATCGAATTACTATTCTATTGACCCTCCAGCTAAGTTGTTTTAAAATGGACGAGATTCTTCATTTTTCAATAGAAGTAATTCGCGAATCCACCAGAAATCCGGAAAAATTTCCAAAATTCTGTTAATTTTCATGCAGCAGTGGAAGGATTTTATCCTTCATCAGATTTCGCATGGAATTCTGAATTTTATTTTCATCATCACTCATTCAATCGCTTTAATTTATCATTTCAATTCCAACCAGTAAACACCGGAAAAATCGAGGTCACAAAATTTGTTTTCCTTTTCGTAATTTCCCGAACATATCAAGTGTTGTGTACACGGCTATAAAAACTCCAATATCAACTACATGGACCACTCTTCGGGGCAGTGTATTAATCAATTAATGACCCTAAACTCCATAAAAAACTGGGGTAATAATTTTTTTTTTGACATTCGAAATGGACCCGTGAAATATTATGGTTTGAGCATGCCGCGCTCAGGCCTCACGTATAATTATTTTTTCAATTAATTTTTAATAATTAAAAAAAATGCCCTGATCTCAATTTTGAATTACGAAATAGTTTGAAAATTCCAGTGAAAATGTGATAGAAGAAAAACTTTCGTGAAATGTACTGGGAATTTAATCCGATAATTTTCTCATTTTTTTAATGAATTCTCGAATTAAGAATATTGTTCCATGGACGGAGTACCGGAGTATCCGAGACGAGGAAATATTATCCTCCAAATAAGAACAAGGATGGGGAATTAGAGGACGGGAAAGCTTTTGTGCAGTTCTCTCTTCATAATGAAGTGGTGAATTGTGGTGTAGACGTGTCATAATGCGAACTCACAAACACTGCATTTTCCTAATTCTTCATCCACACGCGGAACAGCTATTATCCGCATTTCTGGCCGCAATGTGTTTCACCTTCACACGCCGAGAAATTCTCTAGAAAAATTTTACCGCTAGCGCTGGAAAAAATTGAAATCTACGGGCTACAAAGAATTCTAGTGGCGTCTATCTCAAATTTCTGGTTTAGTGGGGAAATTTACCAGACTTCTGGGAATATTTCTGAGGATTCACGTCAAAATCACGTGTAATCCATAAATAAAAAATGACGCCATGATTTGTGGATTTATTTAATTTCGATCATTTTTCATGGAGTTTTGACGTTTTCAGTGTGAAAATTCGATTTTCATCTGTGAATTTTTACTTTGATTCAATTAGTCATATCGATTTGATCAAGAACTATCTATGCATTATCTTATTATTATTATCATTA